TGCAGTTTTTGACCAGGGCTGGGTTTGAACCCATGACCTGGGGTATATGGGGCCAGCACCCTACTCCTTGAGCCACAGGTGCCACCGAGTCTGTTTTCTTTACACCATATTGAGAAAACCCTCTTTTTATTTTATATTTCCCTCTCACCTTGGTCAGTTTCCAAAAACACTATCAATAAAAACTGACCAGAGGAAATAGATAGACAAACCATGACAGATAAAGGTGATGTCACAAAAGAATAGTTACTGGCTGGGTGCCGAGGCTCACGCCTGTAATCCCAGCTACACGGGAGGCTAAGGCCAGGAGTTCAAGATCAGCATGGACAACACAGCAAGATCATAACTCTTAAAAAACAAAACAAAACACTTCCTGGAAATTATTGTTTTAAATAAAAAGAAATTTTAATCTAGGAAGTTCACATTATATGACAAGGATGAAAAAAAACCAAATTCTTAATTTTCAAACTCCAAAAACCCAAATGATATAAGCATAACAAAAGGCTCACAGGTAGACCTTTATCAAACCCAGTTAAAGAGACCCCTGGATTTCTACTTCTTCTCTGGCATCACTGGCATCTGCTAGAGCAGACGTAATCTCAATAACATACAGGTGAAAAGAATGAGACCTGACAGCCAACCCACAATCTTTCATGGAATTTTACAAGAACTCTGATAGGCAAAAGAAAGAAAAATCAAAGAATGAAGACTGAAATAGAAGAAAATGAAACCAAAACATACCTAAGCCCACACAGATCAGGAGGGAAGAGGCTGAATGGTACAAACTGATAATCACATGTGAGGAAGGAGCGTATCCTTGACTACAAATGTGGATTATATACACATTTATATTAACTTAAATCAGTTCATATGTACACCTGAAAATTCAACCAGAACATCCCTGGTGAGAGGTGGGAGAAGGTCTATTCATTTGGCTCCTCAGGTCCCTGTCCTTTGCCCTGGCTGGTCAGTGGCCTCTGCATAGGACTCAGCAGCATGGTATATAAATGGATAAAGCTTGATGTCTGGTCCAGGGGTGGAACAGTTTTTGCATTCTTCATTGTAATATCGTAGCAACAGCTTATACACTTCTCCTGGAGAGTAAAAGACCAGACCAGTTTGCACATTAAGGTATGTAAATGGGAAAACCTTTCAAAGAACATTCCAGTTCTGTCTTAATCTAAATCATATGTTTGGATTTGGCTTTTGAAAATATAGTGTGAATTTCATATGCCTGAAAGCCTTTCCTACCATAAACCTAAACATTTTTACAAATTCTTTAGAGAAAGCACTTAGTCATAATTATAACAGGTTATACATGGCCCGTTATCCATGCAGTGCCTGGGGAGTTCACAGTAACCCCAGTTATATACATTCAGCTCTCCGGGAACAAACACGCTGGCATGTTCAGGCTTCTTAGGTCTGAACTTACCCTCTTTTATCTATTTTTTGTTGTTTTACACACACAAAAGTAAAATTGGACACTAACTCCAGATTCTAGCTTTACTTTTAGTAAGTTGACATGCTCATTCAAGATCACAGGTGAAACTGCCAGGGAAAAAAAAAAAAAAGACTGCAAATGCTGCCCTGCCAAGAGCTCTGTCTTCCCCTTTCAGAGCCAGGCTTTTGCTGCTTCTTACCCACTGTGATCCATCCAGATTTAGCAAATGTTCCCATTGGATAATGTATAATCCATCTAGATACTGAGTGTCAAGACTACCTCCTACTTACCAACAGTAAGTTTCCTTTCAGTGAGGAAAGTGTGCATGCTGTAAATGTCTCTCATCAATTCTGAGTCCCCAAAGGTGAAATAAACCACGTCTCGCTCGGCTGCAGCAGCTGCCAGTATCTGTATTAAGGCTGTAGCAAAGACAAAAGGCACAGCTATATTATGACACTTTCCCTCAAGATGCCTTTAGCTCTTTCCACCAGCTAACTCATAGCTGGTGCTCCATGGCTTCATCCTAGATTTAAGATTTATAAACCTAATGTACGTGTTATTAGAAATGGTGAATACAAGATGGACATACATCATCTAGTATGTGATTTTTCAGATATGCTACTGAGAATATCATTAAACTACAAAATTCCCACACAGGCATCTTTTCTGGACCACAAATAAAGGAGGGTGCATTTGGAGCAGCAAAGCAAGGCACCAACATGGTAGTTATATTTCCTTAATCTGGAAACAAATTGTTTTTGTTTTTGTTTTTTTTGAGACAGAGTCTCAAGCTGTTGCCCTAGGTAGCGTGCCGTGGTGTCACAGCTCATAGCAACCTCAAACTCTTGCGTTTAACTCTTGCCTCAGCCTCCCAAGTAGCTGGGACTACAGGTACCTGCCACGATGCCTGGCTATTTTGTTGTTGCAGTTGTCATTGTTGTTTGGCAGGCCCGACTGTGGATGGTGGATGGTGACCGTACTCTCTGGTGGATTTGAACCAGCCAGCTCCGGTATATGTGGCTGGTGCCCTAGCCACTGAGCTACAGACACTAAGCCTGAAAATAAAATTTTTATATTTGCTTGCTTGATTTAATCATTTTGTCTCATAATATAGTTGCTCATCTTCTGTATTGTAGGCAAATGTGGGAGGTTCCAATGCTCTCTTTAACCTCACAATAAGCAACTTCACCTGCATTCCTGTCTCTAACCAGTCACCAAAGCAAGAAGCTGATGTTACTGAAGACATTGGACAGTGACTCTTCAGTGTGTTGGAATGGGGAAACAACAGAGAGCCACTATTTCTGGAAATCAAAGTTACAAACCATTAAGACTAAACTGTATTTCTAAAAGTTACTTTATAATCTCAATAGACTGAATTTATTTTAAAAAACAAAATTTAACATAGTTATAATAAATGCCCTTTTGCTAGCTTTTTTTTTTTGAGACAGAGCCTCAAGCTGTCACCCTGGGTAGAGTGCTGTGGCATCACAGCTCACAGCAACCTCCAACTCCTGGGCTCAAGTGAGTCTCCTGCCTCAGCCTCCCAAGTAGCTGGGACCACAGGCGCCCGCCACACGCCCAGCTAGTTTTTGGTTGCAGCCGTCATTGTTGTTTTTGGTGGGCCCGGGCTGGATTCGAACCTGTCACCTTAGTTGTATTTGGCTGGCACCTTAGACAATTGAGCCACAGGCACCGAGCCCCCTTTTGTTAGTTATGTTATCTTTTATTTCATAAAAGAGAAGGTAGAAATCAATTAAAAACATTATAGAGGACATCTTTTAATAGTTTTGCTTTCTGAAAGCATGTTAATATTCTACATATTTAAAAAATAAAATTTAGGCTGGGCATGGTGCCTCACGCCCTTTATCCTAGCACCCTGGGAGGTTGAGGCAGGTGGATTGCCTGAGCTCAGGAGTTTGAGACCAGCCCGCCCAAGAGTGAGATCCCATTTCTAAAAACAGCCAGGCACTGTGGTGGGTGCCTATAGTCCTAGCTACATGGGAGGCTGACATGAGTGCAAGAGTTTGAGGCTGCTGTGAGCTGTGATACAACAACACTCTTCTGAGGGCGATGAAGTGACGCTCTGTCTCAAACAAAAACAACAAAAATTAAGACAGTAAGAATGGGAATGGGGGCCAGGCGTGATGATTCATGCCTGTAATCCTAGCACTCTGGAAGGCCAAGGTGGGTGGACTGCAGGAGTCTGAGACCAGCTTGAGTAAGAGTGAGACCCCATCTCTACTAAAAGTAGAAAAACTACCCAGGCATTGTGGTGGACACCTGAAGTTCCAGCTGCTCAGGAGGCTGAGGCAAGAGGGTTGCATAAGCTCAAGAGTTTGAGGTTGCTGTGAGCTATGAGGTTGCCAAGGCACTCTAGCCTGGGCAACAGAGTGTCTCAACAAAAGAAAAAGAAAATAACAGCAGGAATGGGAATGGGTAGGCACCTACAACTGAAAGCAAACTAAAACAAATTAGACCAATTTTAGTTCAAATGAATAACATAACTACACTGAAGGGAAAGGAAGAAGAAAGAAATTTAACCAAAGTAACATATGAACATGGTATTTGACTACCCTTAGGCTAGAAGGAAAAAACTGCAAACAAATTCCCAGCTCTTTTTATAATACTAGGCTCGCTTACCACAGTAGTACAGGTGAAACAGCTCTGAAACTACTTTTAAAGACATTAGAAAGACTGAATGAATAAATGTGTTGATGGGGCAGGGAGCTGGACTTTTCACTATGGAAGAAAGGACATGTGAGCACAGAATGAGGGAAGACAAAAAGAACTCCAGAGGATGGACTGAAATGGAAGGCACTGGGGTATGATGTCTAAAATACACATATTTGCACTTGACTGTATGTTTATATATGCATTTCCTAGTTCTGTCTGCTAAAAGGGTCAAAACCAGACACCAGACACCAGAGTAGCAATGAGCACACTTAGCAAATATCCTCTACCCTAAAAAGAACTAGAATCCTTGGGGCAATGTCTGCTTCCATGGTTTGGACAAGAAAGCTGAAAGATGAGTTCAGGAGAGCTCTTGCAGGGACTGCTGGAACAGGAACAAACTTTCGTTGCAACCACTGTGGATCATGCAAGAGTCATTAACAAATGTTAAATCCAGCAGAAATTTTGTCTTAAAGCATCTTCTCACAGCTTATTAGTCACAGAGAGAAAAAAACCTCAATTACTACGCAATGGAGAAATTAAGATCACCAACAGCATCACATGGCCATCAAGTGCCACTAGACCAGCGGCTCTCAACCTGTGGGTTGCAAACCACAGGAACTGTACTAAAGGGCCACGGCATTAGGAAGGTTGAGAACCACTGCACTAGACAGTACCACCAAAACAGTGTTCTAACCAAAGATGTGTAACCTCAACCTCATGATGAAGAAAGAGCAGATAAACTCAAAGACAGCTGTATTCTTCATCAGGTCAATGCCACAGAAGACAGAGAAAGAATGTGGAAATATTTCAGATTCAGAAAGAGGCTAAAAAACATGATAGCTAAATGCAATACCTGACCCTGGACCCTATGCTGGAAGGGAAAAGGCTAGAAAGGGTTTTTTTAGGTCATCTGACAAAACTGGAATATAGTTAAAGAGTAGATTAAAAATACCAATGCACATATATAAATTTAGTAACTAATATATTTATGTAAGATAATTTTTTCTTAGAAAATACACATTGAAGTATTTAGGAAGAAATAAAAAACATGCTCAAATGATTCAGAAAATAACTGTGCATGTATGCATAAATACATATGGATACATACAGGTATGTATTTTTATTTTTGTAAATTTGAAGTTATTTTTAAATAGAAAGTTTAAAAAATTATATAAGAAGAAAAATCTTTAAGTTGAACCAATAAAATTTGATATAGTTGAGTATTATGCAGATTTGGGAAAGAATCTCTGATGCAATAATACACATAAGATTCTAAAATACCGAAGTATGTTCTAATTTCCAAACAAATATTTGTTGAGTATCTACAACATGGAAGGTGCCATGTCTATGCCTCATTAATCTCAAAAGTGTTGAAAGTAATTAACTTCAAAATAGAGATAAGTTTTAATTAAAACTGCTCAACCAATTTATGCATACATTAAAGCTTCAGTACACTCAACTTTAAAGGTTCCTAATTATCCTAAACTACATGTAAGAATGTGGAAACTAATGAATCAACATCTTTCTCCGCTAAGAAGTATCATTTCTTACCTCTTAGTGAGAATGAAAATTTGGCTTTAAATATTTCCTACTCAAAAAAGAAGGCCAGGTGCAGTGGCTCGCACCTGTAATCCTAGCACTCTGGGAGGCTGAGGTGGGTGGATTGCCTGAGCTCATGGGGTTGAGACCAGCCTGAGTAAGAGGGAGACCCTGTCTCTATAAATAGCCCAGTGTTTTAGCGGGCACCTGTAGTCCCAACTACTTGGGAGACTGAGGCAAGAGGATCACTTAAGCCCAAGAGTTTGAGGTTGCTGTGAGCTGTGATGCCACAGCACTCTACCGAGGGTGACAAAGTGAAACTATTTTAAAAAAAAAGATAGAGACCCAAAGAACCAAAGAAGAGACTTTTTAGTCCTATTTCCTGCTAGATCCCCAGTCATTTGCCATTTGTGGAAGTGAAATATTAATAAAAACATTTAACATTCATCTCTTTACAGAATTTATTTTAACAATGCTCCACAGGCCATTTTAGAGCTGGGCACAGTTCTTAGAGCTAAGCTCCACAGAACTATCCCAAAGAGGCTGGATCCTAATAGCAGAAAAATAAAAAAGTAAAATCAATGCATATCACTTTCTTCATTTTCCACTCATTTCTGCTTGAGTGCGTGTTAGGCAGTTGGGAGTCAACCAAGTTCAGTCCTCACCCTTGTGCTAGCAATCTAGCTCTGTCTCTTTAGCCGATCACTTACTCTCATGGCCTTATTTTTCTCACCCTATACAATGAAGTCATAAGATGATCCTAAAGACTTTTTCAGAATTCCATAATCACTGTTACAAGTGTTTTTGCTGCACAGGATGCTAGACTATAACTACATAAATGAAGTTTCCAGGAAGATAATCGTTTTCTTTTTTTCTTTTGAGACAGTCTCACTATGACACCACCAGTAGAGTGTCATGGCATTACAGATCATAACAACCTCAAACTCTTGGGCTTAAGTGATCCTCTTGCCTCAGCCTCCCAAGTAGCTGGTACTACAGGCATCTGCCACCAACAGCCAGCTATTTTTATGTTGTAGTTGTCATTGTTGTTTAGCTGGCCTGGGCCAGGTTCAAACTCGCTGCCCTAGCACCGTAATCCCTGCGCTATGGGCACTAAGCCCAGAAAGATAATCTTTTTTTTTTTTTTGAGACAGAGCTTCAAGCTGCCACCCTGGGTAGAGTGAAATGACATCACAGCTCACAGCAA